AGTCTGGATTCCCAGGCCTTCATTCTCTTCTCTGAAATACTCTGGGAATACATCTACCAAACTTGAATATTGTTATTGTAAACAAGATTGTTACACTTGTCTGATTTTAAAATTGTTTCTTAAAGCTGTAAACATCTGACTTGGTTTGATCTCAACACAAAGGACACTGATTTTTTTTTTAACACATACTATTACATGGGACACCATATACTTTTCCAATAACTTTCCATTGAGCTTAAAAGAAGTAGTGACAAGAAATGACTACTTTATATCATCTAGCCATTGTTTATAAATATGTACTAAGTGCAAAGCAGTGTTTTTGGCTATTGGGACTTCTGAGTTGAATTTAATAGTCTAGTGGGAGAAAGGGTCCTATATGTACCATGAAAAAGAAGTTAGAATGTATCTGTTAAATATAGGCTGGATTTTAAAGTAGGAAAATTAAAACATCAAAATGTTAGCATAGCATTAACGGCATAGAGACCACCTCTAGGTACAATCTGCCTGATTGAGGGTGTTGCAGCCTATGAGGAGGATATGGGATCTAATGAAATAATTAGAAATACGCTTGTCAAGATCAGTGCTTTGACAAGGAAAAGAGTTTGGCAATTATGCTTTATTAGGGAGCAATAGAGTAAAGCAAAATTGGTTATTGTAGAATTTGACTGCTGGGAGCTTGTCTCTCCAGAAATTATAATTAACTGATTTTTTTAAAACAAAATAATGGGAGAAAAGCAAATTACTGGAATTTAGAAAGCAATTTCTAAGGAATCTTTTTTTAATTTTGGTTTTCTACAAAATTAACCTCCTGTCTTTATACTTCTTAACATTACACATTACATGCTTTCAATTGAATGTTGATTTGGTAGACCTTAGGGATAAAAGGGACATGAACAAACACTCTAAATCCTATTTAATTCCTTGATAGGGCTGCGCCCAAATCGTTCCATGAATATAATTATATGTAATTTAGACAACACATATTTCTTAAATCTATTGTATGTCTGCCTCTATGTTATAATTCTACAAAGAAAAAAGAGAGGTCATATTTTTTAGAAAGTCTTAGTATCATACAATTCTAAAGCAAATCTTTTCAGTGGCAATATTTCTTTTGTAGTTCTATCAGATGGAGATTAAATTTTCATTTCCTTTAGTTATATTGTCAATTTTCTTGCTATTTTCCATGCTATTCTAAGAACAAGTACTGAATACTTGTGACATATTGTAGGCCGTCAGTGAATGTTGATTACATTGTACGCACTACTTGGATAGCAATAACAAAGATGAGCTTTGTTCTAGCATTTAAATTGTAATTTACTCATCCATTAAATTACTCCTCTCATGGGTTTGTTGTGAGATTTAAATAAGAGCACAGGGTAAGTAGTAAAAAACTATCAATATTTTTTTTAGAATAAATAAAACAACCAAAACAAAACATGTTTAACAAAGGAGAAAAAATGAAATTTGTACACTGAAAATACACATTCTTAGAAGAAACAATCTCATTTTATATGGATGTAAAGTCTTCACATTTGGTTAAGAATAAATCTTCATAAATATATAATTGACTTATTAAAATATTTACTTTTTATTATACCATTAAGCTGATTCACTTTATCACATCTTGTTTTTAAATTTTTTTTTTGGAAAAAAATATGTTGTAGGAAAATATACATGTGGGATTATATTATTTTTAAATGTATATTTATATTTATATTGCATTATAGAGTTGATAATACCTTTTCTAGACATACTAAGACCTTTAAATTTGATTTGATCTAAAGTGAATGCAATCTTTTTAAAAATCCTCATTTCTCCAATATTTTAAAAAGATTATAGAAAGGAATTCATTCATGTTTTTATCTCTTTTCCTAAATCTTATTTTCCTTTCCTTAGGACATTTGAAAGAACAGCTGTCAGTCTTTCCCAAAGTAATTATTAGGATATGTGGGAAATTATCTATTTTTTTTTAATTCTTTAATATATTTACCAATCAAGTAATACCCAAACATAGTGCCGTGGGAAATGGTGAGTCTTAGGAAAGGCAGAATGATGATATCGTTTGTCGAGTGATTCCAGCATGAGCTGATACTCTAGTCACATAAATTACTTGATTTTTATAATTGAGTACTAAAGTAGTGTGGCAGTTGACTATTACCTTCCTCAATGCAGTGATAATGAAGGTCACTAGAGGGTCTGGACCAGAACTCTCTGCTTTCTGTTGCCTGGCCCCATCATCATATAATCCATCCTCATGTCAGAAGGTTTTTTTTTTTTTTTTAATTGCATTTTAGGTTTTGGGAATTATCTATTTATGGTCAATCTGGAGTATCATAGGAATTTGTATAGCTTGTTGATACACAAAGTTGAAGGGTAATTACAATATTTGGAACTATTTTGAGTTCAATAACCCTAAAGCACCACAAAAGTGTTAGGCAGTGAAACATTCCTTATACTTTTTTTCAACTTCTCTTTTAAAATAACAATATGACATTCATTCTTAGACAAACACACACACACACACACATATATATATTTTAAAGGCCAGGCGCGGTGACTAAAGCCTGTAATCCCAGCACTTTGGGAGGCCGAGACGGGTGGATCACGAAGTCAAGAGATCGAGACCATCCTGGTCAACAAGGTGAAACCCTGTCTCTACTAAAAATACAAAAAATTAGCTGGGCATGGTGGTGCACACCTGTAATCCCAGCTAGTCAGGAGGCTGAGGCAGGAGAATTGCCTGAACCCAGGAGGCAGAGGTTGCAGTGAGCCGAGATCTCGCCATTGCACTCCAGCCTGGGTAAGAGCAGCGAAACTCCGTCTCAATATATATATATATATATATATTTTTTTTTTTTTGAATTGTGTTTTAGGTTTTGGGGTACATGTGAAGAACATGAAAGATTGTTGCATAGGTACATACATGGCAATGTGGTTTGCTGCCTTCCTCCCCATCGCCTATATCTGGCATTTCTCCCCATGTTATCCCTCCCCAACTCGCCACCCCCTGCTGTTCCCCCCTAGTTCCCCCGCCACAGACCCCAGTGTGTGATGCTCTTCTCCCTGTGTCCATGTGTTCTCATTGTTCAACCTCTGCCTATGAGTGAGAACACGCAGTGTTCGATTTTCTGTTCTTGTGTCAGTTTGCTGAGAATGATGGTTTCCAGGTTCATCCATGTCCCTACAAAGGACACAAACTCATCGCTTTTTATGGCTGCATAGTATTCCATGGTGTATATGTGCTACATTTTCCCTGTCCAGTCTATCATCGATGGGCATTTGGGTTGTAACAACAGCTGAAGTTGAGACAGTAATTAATAACCTATCAACCAAAAAACGTCCAAGTCCAGAAGGGTTCACAGTGGAATTCTACTAGACTTACAAAAAGGAGCTAGTATCACTCCTTCTGAAACTATTCCAAACAATACAAAAAGAGGGAATCCTTCCCAAATCATTTTATGAGCCCAACATCATCCTAATACCAAAATCCAGCAGAGATTCAACAAGAAAAGAAAAGTTCAAGCCAATATCCATGATGAACATAGATGCAAAAATCTTCAATAAAATGCTGGCAAACTGATTGCAACAGCACATCAAAAAGCTTATGCATCATGATCAAGTAGGCTTCAAGGCGGGGATGCAAGGCTTGTTCAACATATGCAAGTTGTAAACATAATTCACCACATACTCTGAAGCAAAGACAAAACCCACATGATTATCTCAATAGATGCACAGAAGGCCTTCGACAAAATTCAACAGCCCTTTATGCTAAAAACCCTCAATAAACTAGGTATTGACAGAATGTATCTCAAAATAATAAAAGCTATTTATGACAAACTCACAGCCAATATCGCACTGAATGAGCAAAAACTGGAAGCATTCCCTTTGAAATCTGGCACTAGACAAGGATGCCCTCTGATTCTTACTTTTTAAACATAGGCTTTGCTTTTTCAATTGTTCACTTTTTACCATGGGAACTTAAAACAAAGAACCACAAAGTAACACTTGTCATTTGACAAATCTGATTTAACCAAAGGTGTTTACCATTGGAACCCAGTCTACTGAACCACCCAATCTCAAGTTTACCTGTCATTAGACAAAACATTACTTTCTTTTCCCAGAGGAAACCCAAACCATTGTCCAATAGAAACAGTTATGTTTTAGAATGTTAAACTTGCAGGGGGTTATAAAATACAAAAATAAGTATTGGTCTTGGAATATTTAAACAGTTTCTGGAGTATGTGCTCCAAAGATATCTTAGGGTTCTTGGCTAGATTAGGGAAAGTTGTTGATAGAGGAATAGAAACAACCATTTTTTAACTTGCACTTACTGTTCAACCCTAGCCACAATTACCAGATCCATTTAAATTGATAACTTAAAGGTTAGCAAAGACTGAGTATACAGTCTGAAGGTTTATAATTGTTTTTTAGTCAACTTAAACTTTAAGGTTAGCAAAGACTGAGTATACAGTCTGAAGGTTTATAATTGTTTTTAGTCAAAGAATATCTTTAGTATACCATCTTTGATGTGTCATATATATATTCAGAGAGGATGGACTTTAGATATAGATACATGTAGATAAGGGTCAAATCCTGTCTCTCACTGTAACAGTGCGTTAACCTTTTTGATGCTTGATGTTCTCATCTGTAAATGAGACTAATAACACATAATGCAGGGTTCATGTGATGATTAAATATCATTCTGGTACAGTGTTCAGTAGAGTGACAGGCACATGGCAGTTCCTTAATAAGTGTTAGTTATTATTTTTCTTTATCCTAACCATCAAACTACAATCAAATAGCAACTCCGTTTTAATTTACATCTTCTTTTGTGAATTTTCATGTTATTGCAAGGGAGATTTACTCACAAGTCAATCTTTTCATTTTTTGAAAATGTAATAGCACATTTTATGGTAATTCATAGGTCATAATATTTATCCAACAAATATTTGTCAAACATCTGCTATGAAGGCACCAAGGACATAGAAAAATAAGAACACTTTTATTTCAAATAGCTTTTATTCATATAGGACTAGAGGGAAATCTAATTCAGTAGAAAACACACAAAAAAGGGGATTTTTTTATTCTCTTCAAAGGAGAGTCATGACATTAACAACATCAACAATAATTTGGAACACACCATTGCATTTTCAAATACAAAAAAGGAATCAGAAGAAGGTGGACATTCCATGAGCATGTTCAACAATGGTATTGTTATTAGGTGTTAATTCTTAATTAGATTATTATTTTTCACATCTGGGAAACTACTACTGGCAGCACAATTTTAAGAAAAGTTTGGCAACATATATCTTTCCTAGCAGCTCTGGATGACAGATCTTGGTGATACTAGCCAAAAAAAATTAAGGGCAAAACCACTGGTGCACAGAGGACAACAAACTGATCTTATTACAGAAACAGATATCAGACCACAATAAAAAAGACATTTTTATTTTACATCAAGCCAAAAACTTTCTATTTTTGGCATACACATCAACAAGCCTGGTCTAGAGTGTTTAATCACAAAAGTAATAAATACTGGTTTCCTGCCTGCCCTGCCCACCTTATTTAAAAATATCAGGGGCCAGGAGCAGTGGCTTACGCCTGTAATCCCAGCACTTTGGGAGGCGGAGGTGGGTGGATCACGAGGTCAAGAGATCGAGACCATCCTTGCCATGATGAAACCTTGTCTCTACTAAAAATACAAAAATTAGCCGAGTGTGGTGGCATGCACCTGTAGTTAGTCCCAGCTACTCAGGAGGCTGAGATGGAAGAATCGCTTGAACCTAGGAGGCAGAGGTTGCAGTGAGCTGAGATAGAGCCACTGCACTCCAGCCTGGTGACAGAGCAAGATTCCGTCTCAAAAAAAAAAAAAAAAAAAATCAGGATATTTGCTTTCATATGACACAGACTACTGAGGCTGTAACCTACAAAATGGTCACTCATTTTAAGCGGCATGTTTGTTACACCCAGACCACTGAAAGGGCAATTTTCTATATCCTAGATATTGTGCATGTAGACACTGATGTTGCTTTCCCAGAAAGAATTTGAGAATATTAAAGTATAGGAAGAAAAAATGGGGAGTTTTATATAAAAACAATCCTTACATACCTACAAAAGTGCCATTCTACTTCAAAGTTTGCAATTCTTAATTGTTTTTTAAAAATTCCTCCATTTTTTGCTGAATTTTAAGTTAATAACACCAATAGCCAAGTATTGCTGCAAGATCTCTATGAATTGTCACAAATTGCCAACTCCAAGAAGGGACATCACAATGAAGGATTAAGGACATGACCACAATGTCCCAGGAAACTTTGGACTCTCCCTATTATATTTGATGTTGCAACATTTGCTTCTAATGTGCCTACGGCCCAAACAAAAAAATAAAAGGATTCAAATTTTCTCTGAAAAGTCTAGAAATCTCTTCCTTTCAAAATATATTGATTTAAAGTTTATCCTTCGCCAATTTCCCTTCAGGTGGGAGTTCATGCTTGTGGGTTTGACTCAAAGACATCTTCCAAAGGACAAGGAAATATATGTGCAATTTTCTCTACACAATAACTAGCACAACATGATTAGGTAGTAGCAAGAATGATGGCAAACTATGTTTGAAACAAAAAGAATAATTCTGCATTAGTAAAACAAAGTGCCACATCCGAAATCGTAGATAAATATATGTTTTAAGGATATTTGAATAAGTGGCTCTCGAAAAAAAAAAAAGAGAGATAAAATGGAAGACAGAGTATCTATCAAAGTTTTTTTTTTTTAATAAAATGGCATGAAAGAAAGTATGCCTAGTGGTATCTCAGAAAATAAGTTGTCAAGGTCATTTCTACTTAGGAAACATAAGTAGAGATTTCAGAAACCATTTTGATTGCTTAGATATGGCAATTCGTATAGATTGTTAGGCAGAAAAAGTAGAGAAGAGTTGAAAGAAAATTATTGATTAGAAAGATTGTAAGTTTACACCAAATTCATGATGCATTTGCTAAATGTTTAGTTTGAGAATTAAGATGTTTTGAGAAATTGCAACAACTCTATTACCTTATCATTGGATAAAGTCCTAACAGCCCCAGATCAAAAGTCTAAGGTTTAGTTGTATGACCTAGTTACTTCCAGCATAGTAATAACTGACTCAATTGTTGCTTTATGTATCTTACAAAACCAGTATATGAAGCCAGGAATATCATAGATAAAATGGACTGCCATTTATTTGGAGAAACCAAGTTATGCGGTATGAGTACAGCATGTGTGAGTATACCACTTGACAATCATGCTCTGCTTCATGAAGGATTTGATGGAGTAAAAGCAAGCTGTTAGAAGGCAAGGGCTATGATTTTCAACGCAAACATCCCTAGGAAAAGAAACCACACATAGGCACTTACATATTTAATGATGGTGTTGATGAAGATGACAAGCTACTTTATAATACTTCATTCCAAAGGCAGCACATTGTACAAAATACTGACAGAGAATGTACTGTAATAGTGGCCTTTGGGAACACAAGAAATTTGATGATGATCACGACCATGTTGACCAGTTTAGAAGAAATCAATAAAATGCCTTCACTTCTTAGCACAGGTCATCTGGTTTTCACTTCTTTTGATAGTAAAAATGCCATCTTGAACAGGCGTGTTGCTTTCTAATTCTATTTTTTTCTCTTATTTTCTCAGCAGGATAAGTGATTTCATTCATGAAGCAGGAAAAGAACTTAAGATACATCCCACTAGAAATGGCAGTGTCAAAGACTGACAGGGTCATTTCAAGCTCAGAATGAATTACTTTTAAGACAGAAAATTTTGGCTTGTTTCTTTTGGCGCTATAAGACACTTGTTTAATACTTCTTTCATTGAGACAAGTTGAGAGTAAATATTCAACAGCTAAATAGTAAGAAATATTTAAATTAACTCCTCTAAACATAAATGCTGGGATTAAAACAGTAAGTTTTAAAACGCTGATTGGCCAGGAGTGGTGGCTCATACCTGTAATCCCAGCACTTTGGAAGTCTAAGTAGGCAGATCATAAGGTCAGGAGTTTGAGACCAGCCTGGCCAATATGGTGAAATCCCATCTTTACTAAAAATACAAAAATTAGCCCGGCTTAGTGACCTGCATCTGTAATCACAGCACTTTCGGAGGCTGAGGCAGGTGGATCATGAGGTCAGGAGTTCGAGACCAGCCTGGCCAATGTGGTGAAACCCTGTCTCTACTAAAAATAGAAAAATCAGCCCAGCATGGTGGCATGTGCCTGTAGTCCCAGCTACTCAGGAGGCTGAGGCAGGAGAATCACTTGAACCCACGAGGCAGAGGTTGCAGGGAGCCAAGATTGCACCACTGTACTCCAGCCTGGTTGACAGAGCGAGACTCTATCTCGGAAAAAAAAAAAAAAAAAAAGCTGATTGAAGAGGAATATTTTCACAGGAGACTTTCCAAGTGATCATTCTATTTTACTTCTATGTGGAGTCTGTAAAGAAAGTCAGTAAATCCACAAGGCTTTATAATTGACCTATGGAAATAAAGTAGGACTAAACTATTAAGAGAGATCAGTCCTGTAATTTCTGAAGCCTTTGTGGGAGATGCCCTGGTTTCAAGGCCATCATGTTGTCAGTGAGAGGTTAGTGAGAGTGTCCTATAGGGTTGTTGTAAAAACTAAAGGCAAGATTTCAATCCGCAGGATTGGTAATGGAAATGTGATTAGTAGTTTTTTCATAAATATCACTATTTTCTCCAAAGCTGACTTCTATCTCCATTATTTGTGTTATAAATTTTTAAAAATATTTAAAGATAGTTCATCTCAAAATGTTCTTTCCATTTGCTAAACAATGATAACATAGCCTCTGGTTTTATTTGAGCCCATTTTGTTTACTATTTAATAAAACTATCAGTGTTTTCTAGTTTAATATATAGTCCCAAATTATATAATTGGAAAAATTAACTTTTAAGCCTTTTTTATACCTATGTATGATATCTTATTAAACTCCTAGTATTATTTACTAGTAGATTTATCAAAAACCATTATTTTTATTCACCATGAGATTGTGAAGAAACCCTGTTATTTTCCTTCAAAGTAAGGATCAGAAAGAGATGCAAAATTGTTAACGCTCTTCTAGCCTCTCATTCAGAACTATTGTGAGCAATAAAAATGAAATGTGTAAGTGAAGAAAAACTATACCAAGTGAAACTACCCATTCAAAAAGTGCTAGTCTATTTCAAAAGAAGTGTCCATATTTTGAAAGCCTCCATTCTGTCCCTCAGGGCTGTGCTACATCTTGTAACGGTATAATCAAAAAGCACTGGTATTCCATTCTTACAACTGCATTCAGCTGTGAATAATACTCTCCATAGCTTATTTGCTTCTCCATGTATCTTAAAGACTCTTAAGTGCAGCCAACTGGGTATGGTGTCACATGGGAGAATGTGTGATTAATTCATTAATGTGTCAAGTTTTAAATCTAAATAACCATGGAGATGTCCTAGTGATTTGGCTTTATCAGATTAATGGCTTGCCATAAACATGTGGCTAAACTGTTGTAGGAAACTTCAGTGGATGAGTATGTTTGCATTACTGTTTTATTTTCTTAACATCATAAAAATATTTGGGAGAACTAAAGAGCAATGACAGTGATTTATAATTATGAAATTGATTTTAAAACTACACAATTATATTTCCAATTAAAACATGACTTTCCTTTTTAAAATAGGGAGAATCTTTTCTTAAGCTTTTGGCTCCACTATTTTTTAAAGTAAATATCTTCAAGTAATCACTGCACAATAACATAAGCTAGCAAATATGATTGGTATGAATTTCTCTGAAAATAAAATTTATAAAAAATTCATTACTACTATGAATCTAGATTGAATTTGCCCTTATGCAATGAAAGCAATTTTTACCTAACACTAAGTTACATTCCATTTCAGATTTCCTATTTCAAAGGGTGTCTCAAATTTCCAAGATGTTAAACCAAGTATTGAGCCATTTTTGTATATGTAATAAAAGTCTTTAAAATTAAAATGGTAATCCTAAAAAAACCAAATGCATGAAAAATATGGTCTGACTGTATAACAAAGGGAGTTATATAATTCTACTTGAGTGAAATCTTTCATCTTTGATTTACAGGTTAGAGTCCTCTCTAACTAAAACCACATTGTTCCATATCTTTCATATCATGGCCTTCCCTAAAACCTTGTTTTAATTAAGGTTTCTTTCAGATTTCTGAATAAAAGCATGACAATCTTCACTTATGGCTTTAATATATCCTTTGAGTTAGAAAAATATATAAAAAAGAAACACCAACTCTTTCAAAAGCATTGTCAGATATTAAATACTGTGAGCAATTCTAACTCAATATCTTTATGTGTTTGAGTTACACGTCGAAACAGAATTTTAGGAGGTAGGAGGATAACCTACTTACATTTAGTAAGTTGCATTTAATCTCAGAAATAAATGTTCTCTATTTTTAACCTTTGACACTAAGGCAACTTGTTTAAAGGTTGTTTTATTCGTTTTCTTCACATGAAGGCACAACTTCTAGGTTAAGTCAATTCAAGGTGACTACAAATAAGCAGTGCCTTCATTAACATATTTCAAACACATAGAAAATTTAGCAACGTTGCTTAAGTGATATTCATCTCAATGGCTTCACAGTTAAAAAAAATGCAATCAGACCAAAGAACTGTGTTAATTTGGAAAGTAAACAAAATAAACTAAACAGTCAAGGCCCTCAAGTAATAGGGGAGATTATGGGTAATCTTCAGTTTTTCTAAAAGAAGGAATGAATGATGAAAGGTAAGAAGAAAGGAATTGATAGAAGGCAGAAAAAGAGAGGTGAGTGAGTAAGTCCTTGATAGATTTGGAACAAATTAAGACCACCTTTGAAAAGTTATGTGCTTCTTAAAGACACTGAAGATGCTTGGTGGAACATTTGCTCAGACCTACTGTGATGAGAACAAGGGATGTATGCAGCGCTTGGAGGTGGGGGAACTTTATTCTCCAACACAATTGCAAATTGACTATATTTGAGAACATAAAGATGTTAGGGATATTTTTCTAAAAAAAAAAGTGATATAAAATATTGCACCATTACAAACAGTGTATGAGGTTCCTTTGGCATTTGGACTTTGAGATACAGTGTGGTTCATTCCACTGAAAAAAAGCCTCATCCTAGTTCTTCCATCTTGAACTCTTACTAGGAAGAGTTGAACTGTGTGTTAAAACAAAGAAAAAAAAAAAAAAAAAAAACGGAAAAAACCAACCAAACAAGAAACACTACAATCTGTGTAGAATTGCTATCCATTGAAGCAAATCTTGTAAACAACTTAAGACTGTTTGAAAAGGAAAATTAACCCCCAAAAAGCTGATCAGAATGTCAGGAATGAGGATGTCTCAGGTTCTGCCCAAAATTTCACCGGCTGTCATAGCTTCTGAAATTAACAATATCTAGTGCTGTAATGAATGTTTCTACTTCAAACCTGGTGTCTAGGAGTGGGTCACCCAGCATATTAAAAGCATGCTGGAAGCAGTTTCTTCCAATCGTGGTTTACTGTAACTCTAGAATCACAGCGGTTACATTTAAGGAATCTTTAATGCCCTTTCAAGTCCATCCAAAGAACAAGTGAAGCTGCTGTTCAGAATTTTGTGCCCAGTGTTTATGTTCCATTGAATCTGTGCCACCCAGGCAGCAGTCAAGACATGTCTGAGGGTGCTGGGGTTGGGGGATACACAATGATGTCACACACAGGAAATATCAGAGGGGGACTTGGCACTTCACAAGGCTGGCTCCTCTTCCATAGGCTCACCAGCAGTTCTGTAAAAATAAACAGGCAATCAGAATACGGCATAAGAGTACACAATGACATTGTAGATTTTCATGCATAATCAAAGCTGATTTTTCAGCTCTTTCTGATGTTTATTTGTGTTATTCAGTTATCCATAAATAGAATTTCTTTCCTAGGAAGTATAAACAAATGTCAAGGGGAAAAACATTTTTGATCCAAGCAATCATTGGAAATGTTCCTGCTTATATTAAAACCTGTCAGAATATTTTATAACTCTAGATTCCAAAAGGTACCTGTTTTGTGTCAAGTTCAATAATTTATTGAAAAAATTAACTATGATATTTTATTTTAGGAGCAATTGCAGTGATTTCCTATGGAACCAATTTGCTAATGAGAGCAAAGGACCCAGCTAGCTTCTGGAGGAGACTCACTAGAGCTCTGGTTTTTGCTTCTGTTCTTTCATAACTGGATTGGCTGCCTGCCGGAGGCATTTCAAATCAAATTCTGAATTTGATTAGCAAATCGTTGCTACAGACCCAATATTTTTACAAGAAATGCACTCTGGCGGTGTGTAAATAGTTTGTATTCGGCATCATCTGCGGAGTGTTCTGAGCAGGCAAAACCAAAACTAATTGCTTGAAAATTTATACTTGAGATTTAACCTTAATTTAGTAACACTTCGAGGGTGTTTTAAGGCAAACTTTTAGAATGACTTTAATTTAGTCAAAAGAATAAATTTCAACAGGAATCCAAATACATGAGGTAGTTAGACTGTGATGGAAAGATTACTGGATTTGAGATGCCAGAGAATCCAGTTTGCATCTGAGCTCTGTGACTTATTAATTTTGCAATTGCTGATTTAACTGCACTTTTGTGAAGCTGTGGTTTCAGGTGTAAACCATGAAAAAATGGCATTCCTTATAGAATCAGGGAAGGTTAAAAACTAAAGGAGGTAAAATTGACCTGTAAACAATAAATAGTATGAGATATTTCTTAATACTTTAGATTTGTTCTTTTGCTGTCTAATATGCATAAAATTGTGTTGCCACACAAATGCAGAGTTATGCCTTTGCTACCAGACAGAAACAATATTTGGATGATGCTTCTCTCTAGGTAGTGGAATCATAGTGAGAGGTTTTCATTTTCTTCTTCATAATGTTTATCTATTTGCCAGGATTCTATAATGAATTACTTTCATATTAGGAAAAAAATGCTATGTTTAAGCCACAGCTGTTTATGCAAACAAGTGAAATATTTGGCTATGTTATTTTACCGATTTATAAGAAAAAAAGTCAAGATTTCAATGCAACTCCAAATAAAGGTGTTGGCAAATAAAGCAGTAGCTTAGCATTTTTATAACAAATCTAAAACATGAAAAGAAAGATTTTATCCATAGGTTGGTAACTAAAATATTTTAAAGCATCCTTTAAAAAATAAAGAATGGGAATCATTAAGTCTTTATTATTTATAGTTACCAAAAGAGAAAATTCCAAAAGAGTCTGTGTGGAATACTAAAAAATGTTGCTTCTTAAGACGTTATAGACTGTCCTGGAGTCTCAGGGATAAGGAGATTGTGAGAGAGTGTTTAGAGGTGGTACATAAGATACATGAGTCATACTTCATAAAAGTCTCTTCTGTCAGAAATGATCAGAATTGAAAGAAGAAAACTTTTAAATTAAGGAAAACATTTAAGTTTGAAACTAATTCACATATAAAGATACAGCCTTATTTACATCTGGGAATATGCAAATAATACAGTTATAGAACTCAAACTGGGTATTCTAATGGAGACCGAATTTTCCTATTTCTAACCCAAGCTGCAGCAGGATAATCTTTTTCCCCAAATCCAGGATTCAGTGTGCCTCGAGTTCCAGAGACAGTGAGAAATGTCTCAAAGGTCACAGATGTAAGAAATACACATGTCTCCGTGGTGGAGGATCTGTGAATTTTCCACATGTCCAACGTAGGCTTAAAGGATGTGAGCAGGCTGTCTATACTGCAACCCACTTACTAGCAAAAGTTAAGCCTCGTTGGTTGAAACAGGGCAACTTAGGTACAATAGAAAGCTTTCCACAAGATGCTTCTCAACCTTTTCTTCTCTTTAAAATCATTCTATATTGACTTCTTTTTTATGGAAATTGACCACTTATAGCTGCCTACCTTCTATCAAACCATCAACATAAACACACAACTAACTAATTTTCTCTCTTTCTTTCCTTTTTTTTTTTGAAATGGAGTCTCACTCTCTTGCCAAGGCTGGAGTGCAGTGGCACAATCTCAACTAATTGTAGCCTCAGCTTCTCGGGCTCAAGCCATTCTCCTGCCTCAATCTCTTGAATAGTTGAGACTACAGGCATGTGCCACCATGCCTGGCTAATTAAAAAACATACATAGATGGATTCTCGCTATGTTGCCCAGGCTGGTTTTGAACTCCTGGGTTCAAGAGATCCACCTGCTTCCAAAATCCTGGGATTACAGGAGTGAGCCACCATGTCCAGCCTCAATTCTTCCCAGCATCTTGCAGCATAGAAATGTTAGTAGCATAGCAAGTTGGAAAATATCCTGGATTTCAAGGTAGATGTTCTGGGATCAAGTCCCAGCTCTTCTAAAATTTGACTTTGATCATTTCTTTTCACTCTTTTTTCTCGATTCTTGCCTTCTTGTTTTATTTCATTGAGTTGATCTTCAATCTCTGATATCCTTTCTTCTGCTTGGTCAATTTGACTATTGAAATTTGTGTATGCTTTGTGAAGTTCTTGTGCTGTGTTTTTCAGCTCCATCAGGTCATTTATATTCTTCTCTAAGCTGTTTATTCTAGTTAGCATATCATGTAACCTTTTTTTCTAGGTTCTTAGTTTCTTGGCATTGGGTTAGCACATGTTTTTTCAGCTCTGAGAAGTTTGTTATCACCTACATTCTAAAGCCTGTTTCTGTCAATTTATCAGATTCATTCTCCATCCATCTTTGATCCCTAGCTGGTGAGGAGTTGTGATCCTTTGGAGGAGGAGAGGCGTTCTATTTTTGGTGTTTTCATCCTTTTTGATCTGGTTTCTTCCCATCTTAGTGGCTTTATCTACCTGTGGTCTTTGTAGTTGGTGACTTTTGGATGGGGTCTCTGAGTGGATGTACTTTTTGTTGACATTGAAGCTATTTCTTTCTGTTCCTTAGTTTTCCTTCTAACAGTCAGGCCCCTCTGCTGCAGGACTGCTGGAGGTCCATTCCAGATCCTGCTTGCCTGGGGATCACCCATGGGGGCTGCAGAAGAGTAAGGGTTGCTTCCAGTTTCTTCTTCTGTTATCTTCGTCCCAGAAGGGTATCCACCAGATGTCAGCCTGAGCTCTCCTTTATAAGGTGTCTCTTTGGGTATACGGGAGTTGGGGAGTTGCTTGAGGAGACAGTCTGTCCCTTATAGGAGCTTAAGTGCTGTCCTGGGAGCTCCATTATTGTGTGTAGAGCTGCTGGGCAGATACGTTTAAGTCTGCTGCAGCGGAACTCATAACCACCTCTTTTCCCAGGTGCTCTGACCTAGGAAGGTTGGCTTTATTTATAAGTTCCTGACATGCTGCTGCCTTTTTTCAGAGATGCCCCGCCTAGCATGGAGTAGTCTAGTCACAGTCTGCCAATGGAGGCATTGCTGAGCTGCCACAGGCTCCGCCCAGCTGCTGTGTGAACTGCCTCAATATCGGCAGACTGCCTTGGTAGTTGCGAACGCCCTTCTCTTAACTTAGCTGGACGATCCTGGGTCCAGCTGTGCTTACTGTGAAATTCTCAATCCAAAGCTTTTCAGATTGCTTGTTTTGTGAGGGTGGTACCTGCCAAGTCAGATCACCTGGTTCCCTGCCTCAGCCCCCTGCCTTTCAATTGAATGGGCAGCTCTGTCTCCCAGGCATTCTAGGCACCAGTTGAAATGGTCGCCCAGATTTGTGTGAGTTTCTGTGCACCTACCCATGGCACCAGCTGTGCTGAAAACTTGTGGCACTTTTCGGCCTGGGAATCTCCTGGTCTGTGGGCAGTGAAAAGTTGTTTGGAAATGTGGTGGGCACTCACCCTCTGCATTGTTCTTGCTGGGAACTGCACTCCGAGCTGTTCCTATTCAGCCATCTTGGATCACCACACATAGCAATATTAGCCTTAAATGTAACTGGGCTAAATGCCCCAATCCAACGACAGAGATTGGCAAGTTGGATAAAAAGTCAAGACCCATGGATGTGCTGTATTCAGGAAACCCATCTCATGTGCAAGGACACACATAGGCTCAAAATAAAGGGATGGAGGAAGATTTATTAAGCAAATGGAGAGCAACATAAAGCAGGAGTTGCAACCCTAGATTCTGATAAAATGGACTTTAAACCAACAAAGATTAAAAGAGACAAAGAAGGGCACTACATAATGGTAAAAGGATTAATGCATCAAGAAGAGCTAACGATCCTAAATATATATATGCACCCAATACAGGAGGACCCAGGTACATAAAGCAAGCTCTTAATGACCTACAAAGAGACATAGACTCCCACATAATAATAGTGGGAGACTTTAATACTCTACTGTCAATATGATATTGGCATATTAAAAAAAAATCAAAGGATATTAGATAGATCATCAAGACAGAAAATTAACAAGGATATCCAGGACTTGAACTCAGATCTGGACCAAGCAGACCTAGTAGACATCTACGAAATCTCTACCCCAAGTCCACAGAATATACATTCTTCTCAGCACTGCATTGCACCTATTCTAAAATTGACCACATAATCAGAAGTAAATCACTCCTCAGCAAATGCAAAAAAATGGAAATCACAACAAACAGTTTCTCAGACCACAGGGCAATCAAATTAGAACTCAGAATTAAGAAACTAACTCAGACTCACACAACTTCATGGAAACTGAACAACCTGCTCCTGAATGTCAACTGGATAAACATGAAATGAAGGCAGAAATAAAGATAATCTTTGAAACCAAGGAGAACAAAGACACAAAATACCAGAATCTCTGGGACACATTTAAAGCAGTGTCTAGAAGGAAATTTATA